TCTAATTACTTCCAAAGGGGAGGGTGGGAGGAGGGGAGTTGTTTCAGGGCTGGTTTGCAATATATCTGTGCTTCCATATTTATTGCACACTTTGTCTACTGGATCACTTAATTAAAGGTTTCATTTAAAATACTATTTCTATTTCATAACTGCAGATACAGTAAAGATGAATGGATATTTTATTTTGGAAATTAAAATCAGTTTAGCAGTTCTGATCAAATGCATGCACATGAGAGGAGAGGAGAGGAGAGGAGAGGAGAGGAGAGGAGAGGAGAGGAGAGGAGAGGAGAGGAGAGGAGAAGTGTCATGCCCCAGCTTCTCAATAAAGCAAAATATTTCAAATATCTGTCCTTGTCTCACTTGAAATTCATTTAATGCATCCTACTGATTTAAAGATACAGGTGAGAATTTTCTAAGGAGATTCAGAAGTCCCTGACTACCTTAAGTATTTCTCTTCATTAGCTTACATGGAAGAGTTATTTCTGACTATGGTGCAAATTTTTTAGCTGCGTTCAGATTGTAGCCATGCATGGATCAAGACTTGTATCAACTAAGGATAATATTTCTCCTGGGAGAGGGAATGTCTGGTCACTGTTATTGACATGACTCATGCCGGCTGCAGGTATTAAAAAGACAGCATTAACGTCATCATTTGTACTGAGAAAGAGACAGTATGCCCGTAAGAATATGCTATACTCCTTGTGTTCCAATGCCTTTCTCTATTCTACCTCCCCCCCTTTCTCCTTTCTTTTTCCGTGTATATGCATATAAATATGCATATAAAATATGCAACAGAATTCAGACACTTGATATCAAGTAAGATCTACCTGAGCTATATAGTTCCTTTGTGGTGCTAACTGATATGATGTGTTTGTTCTTGACTGCAGCCTATGGGTACCAGCATCTACAACCTGCACTCTCCAGTCACTTGGCAATGCTGTCAGAATTACATGTCAGCTTGTCATGTTCAGTTCTTTGGAGTAAATACATATATATGCACTCCTTTAATATACAAGCTTGTTCATGGTATTCGGGAATTCTAAAATGATCACCTCACTGATAGCACCTAAGAGCAGGCACACTGCTGCAGTGGTTCACGTGGGGTTCAGAAACATTTCAAGCAGCGGTAAACAGTCTCATTATCTCTTATGTTGCGTAGCAAAAGATTGATACTTTGTGAAGCACAGTTTGTCTTTCATGAAGTGGTGGGGACATACAGCTGATTCATTAGTAGCATTCCGAGGAATTTGTGTGAATTCTTTGTGTGGCAAAGGTAATAATCGTTACTAACTCTAATTCTTTTCCTACAATTACAGCTGCCAGGGAATGCAGCCAGTCTGTCTTACCGCACCTTAATCACAAACAGAGAATCAGAACAAGAATAGGTAATTTTATCCTATGTTTAAGGTCACTTACCTTTTCTCAGTAATGTGTGTTTTGTATTAAGGTGTTACCTCTTTTCATGACATGGCACAATAAGTGTCCCACCGAATTAACACCTGAAAATCAAAAGGTGAGAATTCAATTTTTAGACGTAATTTTAACATTTTCTGCAGAGACAGAATGCACTTTACAACATTGTGCAATTTAAAATATTACCCTTTGCTATATTATTTTGGTGGAAAATCTTTAAGCAGTTCAGACTTTTCATTTTGCATACTTTGACAAAAAAAAAAAAAAAGAAAAGAAAAGAAAAAGCATTTCATTTTTCTTTGGCCTATTTATCTTGTTCAAAATCAGTCTGTAGCATATTGGCAACTTACTATCTAGCAGAAATATCAGTAAACCCTGAAGGCCTAGAACTGGACCTAGCACTCCAGGTTCCAATGCTGAGTAGCTCATGTTCAATTTGGTGTTGGATTCTTAGAACTACAGATTACCTTAGGAAATTTTATTAAAGTTGTGCAATAGAACCACTTCATTTTTCTGTATTCTTACTCTGCTTTTGTTTAATTGAAAGTGGATAACTGTATGTTTAAATCTAACCACTGTGATAGACACCATCTGTCATTTTTCTTTTAGACATTTAACTGGTGGCAAAGGAACGCTCTGATTTCATGTATTCAGTCTGCTTTAATCTCCATTGGATAGAAGAGACATACTGGCATTAACCCTAATCATGGACCGTTTCCTAATGCCTGACTTGTGGGAATATAAATGAAGAAGGTAAAAGCCATGATAGTGTCACAAAACTATGAAAAGTTGGGAGTAGTTCAAAGCAGAATCCAAAGTAGTGTCCAAAGAGCAGAACAAAGAGAAGAACAGAAAGTTTCTCTGTTGCTGAGAACTGCTTTGAATGTTCACCACAGTAAAGAGCCAGTAAAAGAAAGTGCACAGTTCAGGAACTGCTATATTTTCCTTACAGCTGAACCCTTACAAGAACTGCCACAGCCAACTGTCATTCGTTTAATCCTGTGCTCATTTCTCATTACTGATAAGGCTGCTAGATAAGCTAAAACTCTTCTGTTCTGCTGTGCTCACTCATCAACTGGAGAGAAGCATATGTAGTTGATGGACAGCACTCACATAATCTGTAAAGGGTGAGCATACATGATTTAAGATGTAACCTCTGTAAATAATAAGAAATGATCTGTGAAAAGATTTTGCAAGCATTTATGAGCTTGCATTCTGCAACATTTTCTTGCATAGATGAGCATTGCTCAGTTTTAAGTGATAGCAACAGATACCATGTGTACAATTACTGCATGGAGATCTATTCATGTAGGACAAATCCTCTTTGTGAGGTCACTTGGTGGTTTCTGTGCCACAAGGGTAATGGTAAGTTGGGATTAATAAAGAGACAGTCATATGACAGAGCTCTGCAAGTTTCAAAAATGTTTGAAGTGGCAAATTAAGAGTCCTTTCCAACTCTGTTTGGCATATGGAAGCCAAACATCACCTGTAAATTAGTACTCTGACACTAACTGCGCTTGAAGGCACAATCTCAATATCTGAGATGGTCTAAGTGTCAGAGTTAGAGTTTGGAGCTGATTGTTAAAGACAACCTTGACTTTTTTTGAGTGGACAGATCAGGACAGGACTCAGTATTGAAGTTCAGTCCTCTCTGTCTTCATTAGACCCAGGTAAATAAGCTTGGCTGATGGATACTGCAAAGCAGTTTGCTGCAATCCATGTGTGAGCACAAGGTATTCTGCTCAAGAAAAGTCTCTCTTGCAGAAGGCAAGATCTTAGCCTGAACAATATCTGAAAACTTAGTCCCATGTGATTTTAAACAGAAACAGAAATAAAAACTAACGATCAAAAAAGATCAGCTTTAGAATTTGACAGAGTATACGTGTATAGAATAGTCTAGGAAGGGAAACTCAATCTGAGTCAGTGCAGCAGGTCATGAAAATCTCATACTTAACAAAACCTAGAGAGAAACAGGTGAGTCATATTGGAGACCTCCTAATGCCCATAACCTTCGGCAGAGAATTGGATTTGAATAGATCTTGTCTGGCAGGTTAGAAAGTCACTTACCAGCTTGTAGAGATTTCTAGCTTGCGGCTGAAAATTGGTAGAGCTAGATAGGAAGATTTAAAATAAATAATGTGGTGAGGAACAAAAAGAAAACTTTTGCTTAGACTAAGCGATCTGATAGTTATGCAAAAGATCGAAAACAAGATGGCTTTTTAATATAAAAGAAATACTAAGAAAGTGCCTTTACAAAATAACAAGATTTTTTGAAGTGAGAAGAGCTATAAATAACATTAAGACCTATGACAAAATAGATAAAATTGAAGCATAATAAGGTAATTGTGAAGGAAAACCAGCATGATACATCTGTAAATTGATTAAAGTTATTTGAAGTAGAAAGGAAGGAAAAAGGAAACAATAATTGTGAAAAGAGATTTGAAAATTAATGATGAAGAACAAACATGTTTAAATACATGGAGTTTTTCAAGAACTAAAAACTAGCCTATTCCAAATTAGTGTATTTTTTTTTTTTTTAACTTAAGAGAAAAAGACAGAAAAGGGAAGAAGAGGCAGAAGATAAAAACAGAAAGAAGAGAATAATATTTTCAAATATTTGTTTTATTATTATCTTGTGTTTCTTTAACTTCATGTTTACCATTGAAAATGGTGCAGTGCAGTGACTTGGTAGAGTGAGGCTGATGAATGGCTTTCCCATGAGTAGATTTAAATAAAAAATCTCTTCATGACTTTTTTTCCCTGCAGAAGGCAGAGGTTTCAAACATATTGAAAGCTACCTCACTGAGGAATTTTTACAATTAATAAAGAAATTTTGTTTGATATTTTTCTTTCATTTTCAGATTGGAGGAACTTTTAATAAATGGAAAGCAAGATTTAGCTAGCCTTTTATGACAAAGAAAGAAAAAACCTTATGGAAAAAATACAGGGTTCTTTTTGTTGTTTTGTTTTGTTTCAGACTGGATGTTGAAGATATTTCATTTCTAGCCCTGAAAATGGGTTCTACTCAAAATAAAATATGAAAGAAAGAATCATTTTGGATCAACCGAAAAGGAAGTGGCTTTTCATGAAGGCAATGTTTTCGATGGAATAAAACATGATTTAATATATGGTCGTATTTGTTTCTCTAAGATTTATATTTGTTTGTTTGTTTGTTTTAATTGCTTACTTTTTTCTTCATTTACTTATTCTTAGGTAACACTTGAATTGAATCTGATGCATTTAATTAAACAAAGTCAACATGTGTGGACTTACAGAACATGGTCTTTACCAAATACGCTTCCTCAGATGTAAAGGCATAACATCTGAGATTTTTAGTCAGTAGATTTGTCTAATAACAAAAGGGGACAGCATGAAGTACTTTCTACAGAGATCACTCAGAAAAGTTTCACTGGAAGATAATTGCTCTACAATACAAACAGAAAGCAAGCTTGGACTATGATTGCACATTGGAGTATGACTGAATCTTCACATTTAGAGCCACTCTTGTCATGCCTTTGTTTTCACTCATTCGCAGCAGTAAGTGTACATATATACATATGCATAATATCTACAGCCAATAGATTACATGCTAAGCACATTAGACTATGTAGAACACAATTATACAATTCTCCCTATAAAGTTCTTGGTTCAAATAATGTATTGGATGTATATTGAATTAAAAAAGCAAAGCAAAGCAGAAACAAGTAATAACAAAACAACGAACACCAACAACCCACTAATAAAAAAAGAAAGAAAGAAAAGAAAGAAAGAAAAAAGACAGACAACAAGCTCTTAAAACTCTAAAATAAATCTTATTTTCTTCAGATTTTGTTTCAGATCTGAGGCATTATAAAAAGATTCTCATTATTTGTTGACATTTCCCAAAGTTTCTGAACAACAAAATATTTTATTCTTATCTTCCCAGGAACTGTGTAAGAAAAAGACAATATTTCTAATACCAAAATTGCCTTTGGAGTCAAATTAAATACAGCAATTCTTAATTAAAAAAAAAAAAAAAAAAAAAAAAAAAGTAATATATTTTGCCAAGTGTTCTGAATTCCTTAGCTAAAAATGTGTCATGAATCCCTTCTTGGAGTACTCAATAGGTTCTCAATTTCTCCCACATGACAACAGCTCTTTCCATTTTCCCATGTCTCATTATATTCTTGACAAATTTCTTGTCTTTTCCCAGGTTAATTTTGAATCTCTATTGGTTTGGGAGTTGTTCTGTACTAATTTCACCTACAAGGTATTCTGTTATCCTAGAGGCAGGCCACTTTAATGGATTATAGGTTACATCCTCTGCTCTATCAGACACATATTTTCATATAATTTAGTTTGATATCTCTTAATTCCCATACATATACAATGCTTTAATCCTTTTCTTTTTTTGAAATACCAGATCATTCTTACTGCCAAAGATGACGAGGAGATATTAAGTACAGCAGCCCAGATCTACTCCAACAGTTAATACTTGCTTAAATAATACTATGAGTTAGGAAAAATATTTGCATATGGCTCATTGCATAATCAGTAGGGATATGGTAATTCATCCCAAATATTATTTCAATTAATTTGTGGAAGTGCTCATCCACTGATTACTGATGGAGGTTGGGAAGAGTAGGTTCATTACTGAAATGAATAAATTATTTTTTGTAATCAGTTTGGACAACCAATACATTAAGAATTGTTATAGTATGAAATACAAATTTCTAATGATTGTCTTTTCATTTATGAATTCCAAAGGAAACACTTTGCTAAATTTAATCAAGCCATCATACATACATTCAGCTTAATTCTGCTTGGGGTTTGATTTGTTTGTTATTCCATTCTTATTATAATTATCCATTTTTCTCTAGGACTACTCAGTTTCAAGAAGTACTAGTAGTACTGAGTTGCTCAGGATAAATTTTTTGGTTTCTGAAAGAATTTGATCACAACAATACATGCCGTTCATAATAGCTTCCTTCCAATTTATTTGGCCTAAGTTAGTTAGATATCTGCGGGACTGAAACATAAATGAAGCCTGATTAGGCATATCAAATTTATCAGTTTTGTTTTTATTTCTTTCTTTGCTTTGTAAAAACCTTCATCTAGACTGTGATCATATCTGAAATGTTAGTATGTTGTAGAAAGGCCACATAAAAAAAAAAAAAGAAAGAAAGAAAAATGAAGAATTATGCCAACTTATATTAATGAACTCCTAATGAAACTAATGCTTAGTTGAAGAAGAGACTGACAGAATTTTGTAGTAATGCTCTTTCAAGAAATGAAGTGATTTTGTCCACATAATATTACAAAAAATTCGTGATTTTTTTGTGATAAATCTAGAATATCATTCTTTTCATCTGTTGTTTTACATTTGCATCTCAATCTCGGTATTTCATTCACACAATAAACATAGAATCATAGAATCATCGAATCATAGAATCACAAGGTTGGAAACAACCTTCAGGATCATCTGGTCCAACTAGACTTCCCATTACCTTTGCTACAACAAGCTAGTAAACCATATCAGTAGCTCCTCAACCAGATGCCTCTTGAACACCACCACCCTGGGCAGGCCATTCCAGTGCCTGACCACTCTCTGAGAGAAAAAGTTCTTCCTTATGTCTAACCTAAATCTCCTCTGGTACAACTTGCAGCCATTTCCTCAAGTCCTGTTTGTTGCCTGGGAGAAGAGGCCAAATCCCTCCTCATCACAACCTCCCTTCAGGAAGTTGTAGACTGCAATGAGGTCTCCCCTAAGCCTCCTCTTCTTCAGAGTAAATAATCCCAGCTCCCTCAGCCACTCCTCGTAAGTCTTGTGCTCCAGACCCCTCACCAGTTTCACTGCCCTTCTCTGGACACGTTCCATGGCCTCAATGTCTTTTTTGTAGTGACGGGCCAAAAACTGAACGCAGTACTCAAGGTGCTGGCCTCACCAGTGCTGAGTACAAGGGGGATGACTACCTCCCTGCTCCTGCTGGCCACACTATTTCTAATGCAGGCCAGGATTCCGTTGGCTCTCTTGGCCACCTGGGCACACTGCTGGCTCATGTTCAACCAAGCATCAACCAACACCCCCAGGTTCCTTTCCTCTTCACAATCATCCAGCCACTTGCCCCCAAGCCTATAGTGCTACATGGGGTTATTGTGGCCAAAGTGCAGGACCCAACACTTGGCCTTGTTGAACCTCATCCTATTCACCTCATCCTAGCGATCCAGTTTATCTAGATCCTTCTGAACGACCTCTCTACCCTCAGGCAGATTGACATTACCTCCCAGTTTGGTATCATCATTGCAAACTTACTGAGGATACACTCAATCCCTTCATCAAGGTCATCTTAAAGATATTAAACAAGATGGGCCCCAGTACCGACCCCTGGGGGACACCACTTGTAACGGGTTGCCAGCTGGACTTAACTCCATTAACCACTACCCGTTGGGCATGGCCCTCTAGCCAGTTCCTTACCCAAAGAAAGGTGTACCTATCCAGGTCACAGGCAGCCAGTTTCCCCAGAAGAAGCCAGTGAGAGACCATGTCAAAGGCTTTGGTGAAGTCTAGGTAGACTACATCAACAGCCTTTCCCCCGTCTACCAGTCTGGTCACCTAGTCATAGAAGCAGATGAGGTTGGTCAAGCACAACCTTCCTTTCATGAACCCATGCTGGCTGGGCCTGATGCCTGGATACCACGCACATGCCATGTGATCTCACCCAAGATGATTTGTTCCATAACTTTCCCTGGTACTGAGATCAGGCTGACAGGCATGTAGTTCCCCAGATCCTCCTTACAGCCCTTCTTGTAGATGGGAGTCACATCGGCAAGCCTCTAATCCTCTCGGACCTCTCCAGAGAATCAGGAGTGCTGGTAGATGGCCAAGAGCGGCTCAGCAATCACCTCCACCAGCTCCCTCAGCACCCTAGGATGAAGCTGTCCAGATGAAGGAGGAGCTCTCTAACTATCTCTACCTGAATCACTGGGGGTGCATTCTGCGTAGCATCCCAGACTTCCAGATCAGAGCGTAAAGTGCTCTGAGGATAACTGATCTGCCTATTAAAGGCAGATGTAAAGAAGGCATTGAGGACCTCAGCCTTCTCCTTGTCCTCAGTGGCCACATTCCCTGCTGCATCAAGTAAAGGATGAGAATTGTCCTTGGTTCTTCTTTTGCGATTGATATATTTATAAAAGGATTTTTTATTGTCTTTTACTGCAGTGGCCAGTCTGGGTTCAAGTTGGGCTTTTGCCTTCCTAACTTCCTCCCTGCATACCCTATCTACTTCCTTGTACTTCCTGAACCTTACCCATAGACACTCAGCTTTATCATTTCCAACACCACGCTCTTCAACATCAAAACAGTCTTTAATATAAAGAGCCACACCACCACTCTTCCTTCCTCATCTATCCCTTCTGAAGAGCTTGTAGCCATCCATCACAGCACTCCACAGTCATGGGAGTGGTCCCACCATGTTTCAGTAATAGCAACTAGGTCATAGTTAGCATGTCGCACAATTGCTTCTAACTCCTCCTGCTTCTTGCCCATGCTGTGTGCAATGATGTAGATGCACTTCAGCCAAGACATCTGCCTCATCCCCAATTCAAGCATCGTTCTCCTGGGCTCATCTCTTGTGAGGCTTGTTTTGTCCCCTTCCCCCATCGTAGCTAGTTTGAAGCTCTTTCTATAAGCCCCGCCAGCTCCTGTGCTAGGATTTGTCGCCCTCTTTGAGATAGGTGGGTTCCATGCATGGACACCAGGTCAGGGTAAACTGCCAAGTAAATTGCCCCATGATCAAAGAACCCAACATTTCTGGCTCGACAACAGCCTCTGAGCCAATTATTCATTGCTTGTGCTTTCCAAGTCTGCTCTGTGTCCCTTACTGCCCCTGAAGGTATAGAACAAAAAATCACCTTGAACTAAATGCACTAAACTCTGAAATCTCTTTTCACAGTTCGTAGGCTTCTCTGAGCAATTTCATCACTGCCCATCTGAACTATGAATAAAGGAAAATAATCAGTGGACCTAACCAGCTTTGGGAGTCACCTGGTTATGTCCCTGACCCGGGTCCCAGGAAGGCAGCACAATTCCCAACTGCTCGTGTCTGGTCTGCATATAGGCCCCTTCATTCCTCCAAGGAGGGAGTCACCC